GGGCACCAGTAAAACCCGTAGAGAGCTTTTCGAATCGAATTACGCAGGTAATACCCAGAACGACCTTACGGGTAATACCCGCGGCCGACGCCTTTACGTGAGCGTGGGGAATACCCATGTAATTCCGGGGGGGTGGCCGCGAGTCCCCCTTACTGCTGCTAAAGTACTCACCATTGACTGTTTGGAAATCTTTCCAGACCTGACCTTCATAAAGATCTCCTAATGTACCATTTGGTAAGTTGCTATCTCTCCATTTTTCACAATCACTCATAAAGTTCTTTTTGTAGATTAAGTCTTGAATAGATTCAATAACGTTTTTATAACAGTACATCTGCTTTGGATATAGATAGACAGATCCATTAGATGATCGCTTCGTTTTCAAAAGCGTAGTTCCACATGGTTGTCTCCTGGTCCTATGTGGGTGTAGTGGGTATCTTACATGGCTGCATTTTAAAGATGTAGTATCTCCATTAGGTTTCTTGATTACACAGTCCTTGAGGGGGTACAATGACTTACACTTTGGACAAAAAGCATATTTTTCAAAGTCATCCTTTTTAAACCAGTGCTTTGTAGACCATGTACATTGTTTCTGGAATACATTTTGCAAATTCTTTAAGAGCTTCATATTCACAGAGTTCAGCAATATACAGTAACATTCCCCTTAAGAATTTGAGTAGTAACAAGATGCCTTTATCTGAAACCTTGTAAAGAGATTGTCACAGAAGAAAAAACATCAAGAAGGATCTTAACTCTGTTGAAGTATGAGGACCTGTAGCTTGTTGACCATCTCCTCTACCTGAACTACTCTTCATTTTCAGAAATCACTTCGTTTAGGTATTTCATCCACCTGCAAATACATGCAATACAGCATTTAAAAAATTGAAGGTCTTATATATGACTAACGCAAAAAAATCTCTACCTGACAATGAGACATATTTGGTTCTATTTCTTCGTTTGCTTCACTGAAGTTTGTTTCTTCGTCGCTGCTGCTGCCTTCTTCAGAAAAGAAAATCTGATCCTCGTCCTCAAGTTCAATTTCGTTCTCTGAAGACGCCTGGTCGGATGTTTCCATTCCGGGGGAGATATTGACATCCAAATCATCAGCGTTAGTTAAGCTGCTATGGAGGATTTGATGTTCATAGTAAGTTGTCTTCGAAACGAGTTGTTTGCAATGTTCACAATAAAAAGATTGGTCCTTTTTGGTCCCTACGGAGAGAATTTTACCAAAAAATTAGTTGACGTCGTGCATGGCTATTATATGATACACAATTCACTTACAGTAAAATGCCTCCTCCCCCCCCCCCTCCCATATTTATTTACTCGGCACGTGTCTTCCAGCTTTAGTTTAGTTTCAGTGAGAAATATTCACGTACGCTAATATAAAAGAAAACTTACCACTAATATTGCCATTACAAGGGAGGTGATCATAGTATTGAGCTTTTGCCATGAAGGAGCAGCATCCCTCACAAAATTTTCGTTTTGAAGGTAGTAATCCGTTCGCTTGACTCGCCATCGCAAACAACGCCATAAGACAGATAAATAAAGGCCCAGGCGTTCCACAACGTTTAAAGTCGTTGAGATGACGTCAGATTTATCGTCATACCACGTGGGGTACTACATGAAAAGTTGCTCTCTTATTGGACCAGAGAGGTGTGAGAGTAAAAGAGCGGGCTTTTCATAATTATAATCAGTATTCGTGCCCCCGTCGACCTCTTTTCTTTCTGCTTTCAAAGGATCACTTAGAGAGACAAAGCTTCAATAGTTTTTTACTTAAGAGCGGCTGTCCGTAAAAACCAGACCAATTCGAAATTTCGTGGCAACAGTCAAAAAATCGATTTTGTTCAT